GAACATACTAAACAAACTTTCATAATAAAAGAACAATTTTAAGATGTATATTATAGAAAATAAACCTGTGGATATTTTAAACGAATTATATAAGTATAAATTATAAATATATATTTTTCTTATTTTTTTTTTATTTTTTATTTTTTTTTTACTAAATAGTAGACTAATTATATCAATATTAATACCTTTTTTGATCGTAAAAACAAGAGCATAATTTAAGGTAAAAAAAATAGAACTTTAAAAAAAAAAATAACCGCCATTTTGTTAATTTTTATCTAAAGTAAATTATTATAGTCTATTCGGTAGAGACATTCTTTCTAAATAGGAAAATCGTTTTTTGAACTCTTTCAGATGATGCGATCTGCAGTATTTCCGTTCTAGCATATTCAAATCGGAGAGCCTTCCTTTCCGACTTTATGTAGACTAACAATCAACATATTGACTTCATACAATTTAAAATTAAAGAGAAAAATATAAAAAAATAACGATATAATGAAAACAATGAAATACATATCTTCATTACTTTTTCCGATAAAAATTGCCAAAAAATCGCCCTCTTTTTCAAGCTATAAGATAAAATGGATAAATTATTTAAGGATTAATAGTAATAAGGATAATTTATATACAATGATTCATATTGCTGATAAAATAACATTACCTTTTATACACATGCAAATTCTATACATATTGTATACAATAATCCTATACATATACTGTACTGTTTGTAATAATTATATAATATATTGTCAATATAATTGACATATATGCATTCACTAAATATTCTAGATATATTATCAATACTATAGCATGTGAAGCAATACATATATAAATGCGTTAAATAAAATGTATGTATATCTTATGAAATAAATGCAAGTATTAACAATTCTGAGTTCAACTTCTAATTAGGATGCAATTGTTTATCAGTGACAAGCTAATGAGAATATATTTTTGAATTTTCATATACATTATAATGCGAATATATTAATGAATATATAATAAATACTTGCCAAGATAAGTCTCATTCATGTATCCGCTTCCCCGAAATATTCTTATCTAGCTCAGTTTAGCTATATATATTATTGTGCATATACTTGACTATTAATACGAAAAAATGAAACGTTTTTTTCTTGCTGTATCACTTCTGTCGATGACAATTATGAGTTTCGGCAAATTGCTTCTCAAATACGAATGGAAATATCTAGATATTCTCTGGGATAATCCGCGACAAAAAGAAGAAGCGCTATACTTCGGCAAATACGATCCTAATTTAGCTTATTTATATGACATAGATAGAGCGAATGGTAAGTTGACATTATTAATAAATTTTTGTAATAATTCTTTATATAGAGATTCTTTATGGATTTCTTTATTGTTATATTAAACGTCATCACGCTTTAAGTTTAATCATACGATTTTAATATTGTTAATGCAATAAATAACTGCTATTGTAATACAATAAATATATTCATATGATAAATATATCTAATACACCTAGCACAAGTTTTCAAACGAACTTCTTATAGATGGTAGAGTATTTATTACTGCGATGAGAGACAAAGGCATACCAGTTGGTGTGCTGACCGTAACTGAAAAACAAGGAGAGGGTGGGCCACTTCTGCGTCCATATCCAGATTGGTCTTGGTATAAAGATGATTGTAAAGGTATTACAGGCGGTGTTTATCAAATACAAGTTAGTATTAATATCTTCTAAGTAACAAATTATATATTCGACTGTAACGTTTAAACAATTAAAAATATGTTAAATATTGTAACACTAACATATTGCCAATAATTTATTTATATAAAAACAATAAAATGTAGAATAATAACAGATCAAGTACTAGCTCCGGACATATTGTATTTAAATAATTATAATATTTCGCATCAAACGATACACATCACAAGATTCTTTAGCACTTGTTTTATCTTTTTTAAGTGTCAATTGTTTTTTATTTATTAGCAATAGCGCTGCACATTATATTGATGTCGGTGCTAGATAAACTAAAGTTACCACGGAAAGAATTTTTTCTTAGAATTTACCCTGAAAATATGATAGTCATGGGACAATATTGTATTTCGAAGAATTTTAATATAAATCTCTCTCATTCATTACTAAAATTACAATAAAGTATAAAATATGTTTGATTAATTTTACTGAAGTGCATGGTAATCTTTAAAATATTACTTTTAAATATTGTACTACACTATATTTTTCAAGATAAATTTTAAAGAAAATTCTCTCCATGTAAGATATGTCAAAAATTCATTCAAAGTGTAATACCATAAGGATTGCCTTATAGCTCTTACAATGGGTAGTAAATAGCATCAGATTTCATAAAAAAAGTCAATATCATGCTCAGTTGAAAAAAAGATAAAGCATTTGATGAACTAATCCGCAATTAATACGTGGGAACTAAATGTGAATAATTGTCATTACTTTCATTTATTATTGTATAATTAAAATTAAAACAAATAAATGTACCGAAATGAAATAAAATCATTTATAATGTAATCTTTAAGATCAATTATAACTAATAAATATTTTATTAATTGTTCGACATCGTTCTGGACAAAAAATATAAATTTTTCTTTTAAGAGTGATCCAGTAGCCTTATTCTAAATCATTTGCATTTTTTTACTATCTCAGATTAAATGCAATCATCTATTCATTGTGGATGAAGGCAGAATTGGGGACGATCAATTATGCTTACCACAACTACTGATTTTCGATTTATCAACTGATAAATTGGTCAAACGTGTTACAATTCCGTTTGACATTGCTCATAATAAAACTGGCATCGGATTGATAGCTTCAATTGCTGTTTTTGCCCCGATTTGCCAAAATGTGAAGGATAATGCAAATGTTAGTATCTTCTTTTTAATTAAAGAAAAATTATTTAGTACAAGAAATCAAGAGAGAGAGAGAGAGAGAGAGAGAGAGAGAATTCATATTTTAGATAAATATATGCACTTATAATATTGTTTTAATAAAATCGCGATACTTAGGTATTCATAGGAGATGTGGAAGGCGGCGGTATAGTAGTATATAACGGGTATACTTCAAAGTTATGCAGAATCGATTCTGATTTCATGAAATCAACTAATGAAGATATCGTGGTAGCAAATCACCGATATCCTAATAGGGACACTATCTACGGTATGACAATTATTGGTGAAGGCAAGTATTTTTTTTATACAAAAGAGAAAATTTCTAGATAGCTAAATGAAAAAGAAAGCAGAGTTTGCTATAAGTTTTCATCTTTGATTTTTTGCCAGAGAGGCAATAAATTTAACATGAAATCTACAATATCTGACGATATCAGTAAAAATTGCTACTAGAAATCAAAAACTTCATATGTTTATTTATTATTATTATTTTTTATTATATTCAAATTGTTCGCTTAAAATAAAAATGAAAAAGGATAGAAATATAATTTTTAAAGATCTTCAATACTAATGACATCACGATTTAAATACTTACAAAACAGTAGTCTGCTCTATTTCGCACATATTTTGCTCGGTTTCTGACATCAGATATTAATCTATTATCAGATTTTATCAGCAAGTTCTGCTTGATTTTTACTGCCAATCTGCTGTGATTGTGTCAACAGATTCTGTCTACAGATACAACAGCAATTGATGTCATTTCAATCTACTGATATTTTCTATCTAAGAAACCTACTGCTAACGTGCACATTTTGCTAACATTTTACTTACAGAATATTGTTTATCTTTTGACTTATTACAACGACAATATTATACGACAAGTTTTACGAATTTAAACAAGCAATTATCGATATTTTTTGTAATTATTAACACTTTCATTATAAATTTTAGATTTATACTATGTTCCTTTTGCGGGAAACAAAATGTATAAGACAAAAATGTCGAGCTTAGTAGAATGTTCGCCAAAGAATATTACTGAAGCTAATAAAGAAACTAAATTGGTGGGTGCATTAGGAGGCCAAACAGTTGCGATAACATCTGACAGATGTGGAATATTTTTCAGCGATATTACAAAAACGTCTGTTATGTGCGCGGACGCAACTAAGGAAATTAATTCCAAAAACAAGGTAAGATATCCGAATATAATTATTCTTCATACCAAATTATTTTATAAATTATTTATAACTCTGTTGATTATTGTTGATAATAACTCTCAGCATTATATTTTTATTATCGCAAATGATATTGTTTCTAAGGAGCTCATTGTATATGATCCAAAAATGGAATTTGTAAGCGGGATGAAGATTAGAAACGGCGAATTAATGATCTTATCAAATAAATATCATTTACATATCTATAATGTATACTACAATAATAATACATTTAATAGCAACGAAGTAAATTTCCGTGTTCTCTCAATTCCCATTGCAGAAATAAAAAAGAATACAAAATGCTTTTCTTCTTGCAATTACTAAGGTATCTTTATGTTTAATATTTTATTGCATGTTTTGACATATATGGCAAAATATCAAATAAACTTTTTTTCATAATAAAAAAGCAATTTTAAGATGTGTATATGTTACAGAAAATAAATCCCTGGATTTACGGGCCCATTAAATGAATTACAAATAGATACAATTTTGAATAATTTTATGTTAAGAATAAATAAGTTTTCCTAATTAAGATTTTTGTGTAAATATAATATGTAATAGTTATTAAAATATAAATAAAATCTCTCTCTCTCTCTCTCTCTCTCTCTCTCTCTCTCTCTCTCATTCTCTCTCTCTGAGATATTATAAAAATCTATTAATTAAATAAATAAATCTGAAAGTTAATAGTTACGATAAATCAAGATAATTCATGAATATTACAGAGAATAACAAGGGAAAAGTTGCTATTCTCATCCTTATGAGATGTAATGCACTCATCGACATGTATGTGAGGGAAATAAATAGATACCACATTGAGAAAATATATAATAAATTTTAATAAATATTTATTTACATGTAAACATAGTATGTATGTGTATGTATATGTACGTGCGTGCGTGTGTGCATATGTATGTGAATAGTGCCAACTATACATTTGCTAAATATAAATATTTACACGCAAATCTACCTTTCCGTGACTCATTAAATTTAATTTGGTACATTTGTAGAGCAGATGAAAATAATAGACACATTTTTTATATCAGCAATAGTGCAGGGTTAGTGATTAAAAGTGCATATACTACCATTATAGTGAGAAACACAAGTAATTTCTTACATTTTAGCTTACTCTATTACAGCTACTTCTAAATTTTAGAGAAGATAAGAGGCTTTCATGTTTCCTGAAAACAAATCCAGTGCAAAAGAATGTAGAATTCAAAATTGAAGATCCAATATGATGACCAGCTAAAAGAGGAACAATCTTATCTCGCTCTTTGCTTCTACATTTTCTTGTTTTTACAATATTTTTTACATTTTTACAATTTTTCCATTTTTTGTTTACATCACTTCTTCTCTATGTTTATTTTTTTAGTTTTTATTTTATGTACTCTGCAGAAATAATATTAAAAGAAAAAATAAACAAAGATTTTGTACATCAAACATATTTTTCTTACGACTGTTATTATTACACATTAATACGCAGAAACTTTCACAATTTTGGAAACAATAATTTACGAGATTATCAAAATCAAGACTTCTCTTGTAAATATCTACTTTAGTACCACAAATACTTAAATAAATTTATAAAACGAGGAGAATAATTGATGTTTAAAACATAATCATTAATTTTTTTTTAATATTATTATCAGTCCTTTAAAATGCACACCGAAATGATTTTTCGATCTTGAAAACGCAAACTCTACTAAACTACCGCAGTAATATCATGAGTTAAATTGACTAGCAATTTAACAGTGTAAAAAATGAAGAATGAATTCATTCTATACTAAATTCATCATTTTTTATACTAAATTTGCTTTCAGGAGAAATATGAAAGTCTCTTATCACCTCTCAAAATTCAAAAGTAGCTGTAATAGAGCTAAAATGCAAGAAATTAAATACTCGTGCTTATCACTATAAGCTACGTAAGGTAGGTAAGGTAGTGTGTACCCTTAAATCTACATCATTGCCGATATAAAAAATACGTGTCTCATTTTCGTCTGCTCTACAAATATATCAAATTTGATTAAATTTGGTGGGTCACGGAAAAATAGGTTTACTTGTCAGAAAAAGAAATGATAGATAAATCAAATTAATTCTTGTATCAAATAAATATGTCTTTGTATTTAATAACTATTTAGTTTGCACAATTCAAAGAAATGATTTATTAAAATTTAATATTTTTCAGTGCGATACATTTGATACGATATGAAGAAAATATGTCGATTGATATACAAATTGGATAATAAATAATATTGTTGTTTTTATAAAATTATTTTTATAAATATCAAATAATTATTAGGAACGTAGAAATTCCTTGAAAAGAAATATTATTAGAAATATTATTAGAAGAATAGTTGCCTATCAACTTATAAACACTCACAAAACTCACAAAAACAATATCTTAAACTTCGCAATAAATGTTGAAAGTTAGTAAAATGCAAAATAAAATTTTAGTTAAATGAAGATCAAAGTGGTCTGTCTCAGGACAATTGGATCATAGGAATACAAGCGAAAACATTGCAGCATTCGGTCAATCATGGATTGGATGTGTTTTGCGCGAGACTGCTTGTCGTAGTCGGAATAGTTATACTAGTTATGACTAGTCTTAACTACAAAATATCAATTGCACCGAATCAGATCACAAACAACATTAAAGGGCCGTGCATGCATCTCCCACTTGTAACACGTCTCTTTGTATATTGTTTCCCTATATTCATAATGAAGAAACAGTGAAATCGATTTATCGATTTCTGCGATTTAGGAATTAATAAATGTACCAAGAATACCAAGATGTAATAATAACAAAGTGCTATCGAACCAACAGGATACCAACAATGTGAAGATTGGTTTATTTATTTAAATTAACATAATTATAATCGCAAATGTTTCAATCCTGTTTCGAAACCTTATCAATGCTCCATGTAAATTGTTAACAGAATTCAGTCATTAAGAGTCATGATAATGTAACAGTAATATCATTTGTTGACAATCATCAAAAAATTTATTTATTCGATGTAGCTAGGATGTAAGTTGATATTCATAAATTTTGTAATAATTTTTTATATGGATATTGTTTATGGATTTCTTTATTACTATTGTATTAAATGTTATCACGCTCTAAGTTTAATCATATGATTTTGATATTACTAATGCAACAAATAACTGTTATTATAATAAAATTGTAATATACATAATTCACGATAAATATATAATATATTTAAAATAATATATTTAACACAAGTTACGTTTCCAAACAAAGTTCTTATAGTTGTTATAGATGATAGAGTATTCATTACTGCAGTAAAAGATGATGTACTACTTGATGTGATGATAGTAACTGATAAACAAGGAGAGGGTGCGTCTTTTCTACGTCAATATCCAAATTGGTATAAAGGTTTTGATTATAAAGGAAGATCTTTTTATACCAATGACGATTTAAATAGCCACAAAACAGCTGTCTACTCGATTTAGCGCAGATTCTGCTGAGTGTCTATCAGATTTCGTCAGCAGATTCTGCTTGATATTTGCTGCCAACCTGCTATTATTATGCGAACAGATTCTGTCAACAGAAAATAAGCAGAATACGACAGCAATTGATGTCATTTCAATCTGCTGACATTTTCTGTTCGAATCTACTGTCAGTCTGTATATTTTTAGTCCGTATATTCTACTAACATTTTGCTTACAGGGAATTGTTTATTGTGTAAGTTTATTACACCATAAAACAAATTTTACGAATTTAAACAAGCAATTATCGATATTTTTTAATCTCTGTAACTATTAACGCTTTCATTGTAAATTTTCATTTAAATTTGTTCTATATTCCTTTCGCGGGAAGCAAAATGTATAAGACAGAAATGTAATAGAATGCTCGTCATAAAATAATAATATTTTTAATTATTATAATATTAATAAAGCTAATAAGGAAATTCAATTGCAAGCGCATTAGAAGGCCAGACAATTGCGATAATATCTGACAGATATGGAATATTTTTCAGCGATATTACAAAAACTCTATTATGTGCGTGGAATAATTTTAATTTATGTGTGTATATCTTACAGAAAATAAACCCTTATGGATTTATGGACCTTTTAAATAAATTACAAATAAACTTTTGAATAATT